TATATTATATATATTATATATATATATACACACACTAGTATCTCATGGTAATTTTAATTTCCATTTCCCTAAAGACTAGTAATACAGGGCATTTTCATGTGCTTATTTGCCATATGAATAATCTATTGAGTGAAATGCCCATTCAAGTCCTCTGCTTTTTTGTTTGCTTATTTTTTAAGACAGTCTCACTGTGTTGCCCAAGCTGGATTCAAACTCCTGGGCTCAAGTGGGTCTCTTGCCTCAGCCTCCCAAGTAGCTGGGACCATAGGCACTGCATCAATCACTTTGAAATAAATCCATTCCATTGCTCCCAGCTTACTTATTTTTTAAATTAATGGATTTCATTTTAGCAGGTTAATACCTGCATATAACATATTTTGATCATTTTCACCCCATCACCCCCACGCCCTGCTGTCCCCCTGTTTCACATTTTGGGGAGGGCTGAATGTATAGAGTATATTTGCTCATATCATACCCACTGTTACCTTGAGCTTGCTCATTTTAAAATACATTATTTGTTTTCTTATTGTTAAGTTATGAGTGATTTTTACATATTTTAAATTCAAGTCCTTTTTTGAATTTGTGAGTTATGAGTATTTTCTCCCAGTTTGTAGCTTCTCTTAGCAGTGTCTTTTTTGTTTGTTGGTTTGTTTGTTTTTTGGTACCAGGAATCGAATTTGGGACCTTGCGCTTTTGAGGCAGGCGCCGGAACCACTGAACTAAATCCCTGGCCCAAGGTTTTAAATCTTAATGAAATCTTATTTACTAGGTTTTGACTTTTATGGATCAGGTTTTTGATGGGCAAGTCTAAAAACCTTTGACTTAAACCCAGGTCATGAAATTCTTCTTCTATGTTTTCTTCTAAATGTTCATAGCTTTATATTTTTACTATGATCTATTTTGAGTTCCTTTTTTTAATGAAGTGAGGTTTATGTTGAAGACAATGTTTTGTATATGGATATTCAATTGATCCAACACTATTTGTTAAAAGGTTGTTGAATTGCCTTTGAATTGTCTCAGCAACTTTGTCAAAAATCAACTCATCATACACATATAGGACTATTTTTGCCAATAACACACTATCTTGGTTACTATTGCTTTGCAAGTTGAGAACATAAATTCTCTAACTTTATTATTTATTTTCAAAGTTGTTTTTGGCTATGCTGGTTTCTTTGTCTTTTCATTAAAATTTTTGAATCAGCTCATGTATATTCACAAAAAGTCCTACTAAATTTTTGATTGACCGTGCATTAAATATAGGAAAAAATTAGCGTCTTAAACGTATTGAATCTTCCAATCAGTGAACGCA